ATGTGTCCATCCCCGGCATGTTCTCCTATGTGTCCATCCCCGGCATGTTCTCCTATGTGTCCATCCCCGGCATGTTCTCCTATGTGTCCATCCCCGGCATGTTCTCCTATGTGTCCATCCCCGGCATGTTCTCCTATGTGTCCATCCCCGGCATGTTCTCCTATGTGTCCATCCCCGGCATGTTCTCCTAGTGTCCATCCCCGGCATGTTCTCCTACGTGTCTATGCACACAGACTGTAATCAATGTTTTTTGGCTGGAAAAAGAACCCAGGACTAGTGGGTTTCCAGAGGATTTTTTAGCTGTAAAAACATGGTAAAATGAAGTAAATTGCGGCAAACCGGCGTTTTTGGACTTTTTTTTTTTTTTAACCAAAAAAAAACCAAACTTTTTTTTTGGTTAAAAAAAAAAAAAAAAAAGTCCAAAAACGCCGCTAAAAAACACAGCTAAACACTAATGCAAAAATGCTGAAAAGCTCACGTTTTTTTTAATGTGACTTTACACTTTTACGTTACCAGCGTTATTAAAACGCCCCGCGTGCATGGAGCCTTAAAAGCAAAAAGCAGTGTTCTCGCTACAATAGAGTTCATTGGAGAAGCTGCTGAAATGCATGGTAGTGCGTTTTTGCCATGTTTTGTGTTTTTTTGCATTCTTATTCTGCCCATCAACAAAAAAAAAAATTACACTTTAACAAAAAAGCTGGACAAAACACGGTAAAAACGCGTGTAGAAAAACGAACTGTGAAAAGAACTACAAAACGGAGAAAAAGTAAACTGCATAGGTGTGAATAGAGCCTAAAAGTGCGCATGGCTGTGCAACGGTGGCGAACAACGTAAATTTTGCAATTCATAGGCAACGCTTTAAAAGCCTTTACAGGTTACTATATGTAAACATCCCTTGTGACAGCAATAGACACGTGACAGGTACTCCTTATCAAGGGATCTGGGCCAATCAGTGATCACATGCAGAGTAGTAAGTAAGATGTCACTTCCTGACATCATTGCTTACTACTAGTGAAATCTGTGAATGATCACAGAGGTCACATGGTACAGGGCTATTCACAACAGCCTTGTACCATGTGACAAGCTGTGACCAATCACAGCTCACACAGTATTTCTCAATGGCCGCAAGAATGCAGCCAGAGAGGAGGAGAAATTATTGCCTTTATGGGTGTAAAAGCAATCTGTGTAAAAAAAAAAAAAAAAAAAATCTTCATCACCCCCCACAAGTAGTACAGTTAGGGTGACAGTATGTAAAAAAAAAAAAAAAAAAAAAAAAAAAAAAAAAAATTTAATATAAAAAAAATAAATGTAAAAAAAAAGTTTCAAAATTATAATTTTTGGTTATAAACAAACTAATTTGGGTTATTTTTTTTTTTTTTAAATAAAAAGATAACAGAATAAATTTTGGCCAAGATTTATGATGAAATATGTATTTGCAAAATTTTTATAAGAAAAACACTTTTTTTTTTTTTTTTTTTTTTTTTCAAAATTTTGGGACTTTTTCATTTACAAAGCAAAGAAAAATAAAAATCCCAGTGGTGAATAAATACCACCAAAATAAAGTTTTATCTGTCTCAAAAAAAATGTTAAATTCATATGGGTACAGTGTTGCATGACCGCTCAATTGTCATTCAAAGTGTGATAACATGCAAAGCTGAAAATTGTCCTGGACAGGAAGGGGGTGAAAGTGTCCGGACTTGAAGAGGTTAATACTTTCAGTTTTTTTTTTTTTTTCTAAAATGGCGCGGTTTAGTTCTGAGCAAGCCAGAAGTGATGTCCGGTCACTTGGCTGGTCATTCAGTGGTCCAAATGGGACAGGAGATCCTGAGAGAGCGTCGGAAGGCGGTGGGAGTGAGGGGGGGGGGAGGAGTCAGCAGAGACAATGTCCCCTTCCACTGCTTGTACAAGCAATCAAGTGTCTAGTTAGCCAACTGCCAGCTCTAAGAAATGGCAGCGGGATGATGCCTGCAGCTGTAGATATCACTCCGGTATAACCACCCGAAGTCCAGCGGCGTGCGGGTCCATTGCTGGTCAGGAAATGGTTAAAGAAAAATAGCTCCACGTATGATCTAAATAAGTTACAGAATTAGTGACTGACTGTAAAGGTAAACCTTTCTTTGTTATTAAAAATAAAAAACAAACGTCATACCTACCTGCTCTGTAATGGTTTTGCACAGAACAGCCCTGATCCTCCTCCTCTTGGGTCCCCCCGATGGTGCGCCTGGCTCCTCCCCCCCCTGCTGAGTGCCCCTAGAGCAAGACGCTTGCTATGGGGGCACTCTTACATGCTCGCTCCAGAGCCCCGCTCTGTATGTTCATAAGGAACACAGAGAGTGGCTCGGCCAGGCCCTGCTCCCTACTCACTTGCTGTGACAGCAGCTGGAGCCAGTGTATCAGCCTACAAGGAAAAAGAGGCCTGGGAGAGCCTCTGCTCTTGTGCACATTGCTGGATCGGGCTCAGGTAAGCATTAAGGGGGCTGCTGCTGCACATTGAAGTTTTTTTTTTACCTTTATTCATAGGATGTATCAAGGTAAAAAAAAAAAAACCTTCAGCCTTTAGAAACATTTTAATATTTCATGTGACCAGGTTAAGATTCTGTTGGAGATTTTCCAGTGATTACCCAGAAGCAGTTGGATATTGGGGGGCCTGTGTGTGTTGTGTTGTTTTTTTTTTTTTTTTTTTTTTTTTTTTTTTCTTCATAGAAAACTATTGGAAATGTCTAGAGGGTGATTGATTGGTTGCTTTGCATCTGAACAGCATTGAGCACTTTGTGTGTTTTTATATTCCCTCCCTTAGTACATCATACATTCTGATTGTAGTGTTTATCTGGTATAAACAAGGGATTCCAGTTTCCATAGTAGCAATGCATGAGTTGAACACTGAGAATTGGTTATTTTTATACAAAAAAAAAAGTACATTTGAAGACATGTTGGTGCAATATTCATTCATTTAATGTTTTCATGTAACGTACGGCATATCTCCAACATTAAAGTGGTTCTAGAGGATGAAGATTTTTACTTTCATGCATTCTATGTATGAAACCTTCTGTTTGCAGCCCCCCCGACACTTGCCTGATCTTGATCCAGCAAGGTGCACTAGAACAGCAGCTCTCCCATGTCTCTCCTTCCTCATTGGCTCAAACACAGCAGGGGGCGTCAGTCACAGCCAGTGAAGTGAGGAGGGGGCAGGACAAGTCTGACTTTGTGTAATTAACCCCCCTGGAGGTATTCCCGAGTGTAGCTCGGGGTAAAGTTTCAGTACCAAAAGCGGTAACCCTGAGCTACACTCGGGCTTACCATGCGGCGCTGCACAGGGATTCCCTACAGCACTTACCTTGTCCTTCGCTCCCGCGATGTCCCCCCTGCAGTGTCCCCGGCCATCTCCTCCGGCTGATGCCGGCATCTGGCTTCCATGTTCCGGTCCCTGTGACGTCGGGACGTACGGGCGCCGGAACCGGCGGTAAATTTGAAAATTTAAAAAAAATGAAATTTTTTTTAAAAACTATTATTTCATAGCAAAACATTCCTGTATCAACCCATTTCACATACATTTTGTCCCGAGTGCTTTGTCCGGCGCCCTGCTCGCATTTTTACCGCCCTTTCTGCCTGGAAACTGAGAAACGTCCATGGCGTCCAAAAAGCGTCCCTTTAGGTCAAAAGCGGTTTTAGATCAGCTAGAGAACAGCGATAGTAAATCAGAACCACTTGCAGAATTGAGTGATAATGATTCGTGGGGGAAATTCCTCATCAGACACTGAAAACGATTCTGCGACTTTGCTCAGCGATGTGCGAACTTGGCGCTATATTTCACATTTCAGTGTTTTTGGTTTGATTATATTATTTAATTAAATGTATTATTATTTTTTATGATTATTTATTAAATTATAATTTATGATTTCGTGTTTCAAGTTTTATCATATCCGGGATGTTTACTAGACTCTTGTTCGGACAGATTTCAGGGAGTTATTCCTAAATTACAGGCCTACAATAAAAAAAAATTACATATTTCCATGCAAAAAAATGGTCCCGCTTTTGGTACAAACATCCTGACATAATCATACCGCCAGGGAGGTTAAAAAGCAGATTTAATCTACTCGCTGGCTTGTATAAGGTGTGTGGTTTTTTTTTTTTTTTTGGTAAATTTTCAGGCATTTTCCAAAGCACCCTTAGGCTACGTTCACACTAGCGTTGTGTGCAGGCGGCAGAGAGGCGTTTGGGAAGCGTTTTTACCGCTTCCCAAACACCTCTGCCAATTCTGCACATTACAGCACATGGTGCTGTTCTAACGGGAGCGTTTACGTCGCGGCAAAACGGACGCCTCTGGTCGAGTCAGGAGGCGTTGAAGCCTCCTATTCTAGTCTAAGGTGCCGCTCCGCAAACGCCCGGCCTGCGTTTGCGGTGCAGTTGTGGGGCATTTGTGGAGCGGTAACACCATTCAAACTGCATTATAGGCGTTAGTGGGGCGTTTTTAACGCTCAGCTAAAGCCTAGCACCCCCCGCTAAACCGCACATGCGGCGCGTTAAAAAACGCTCCGCAAACGCCGGACCAACGCTTGCCAAACGCTATAGGGGCGTTTGGCAAGCGTTGGTAAAACAGTCAAGTGTGAACGAGCCCTTAAAGAAACCTGAAGGCACCCTGGTTGAAAAAAGCTGCCTCAAACCATTCTTTGCAGTGTAGTAGGGCACATCATCCTCTGGAAAGAGGCCGCTTCCATCAGGAAATACCGTTTCCATAAAGGAGTGCACTTGGTCGCCATCAATATTTAGGTAGTGGGTATGTGTCAAAGAACATCCACATGAATGGCAGGACCCAACAATTCCCTCAGAACATCGCCCAAAGCATCACACTGCCTTCTCCAGTTTGCCTTTTTTTTGTGGGGGTGGGGGGGGGGATTTGTTCATTGTGTATGTTGTCTTGCTTTCCTCATGACCTCACTGTGTGTTGCGTGTCTGTCGTGCCAAAAAAATTGATTGTTTTGCTTTTTTTTTTTTTTCTCTAGGAGTGAGCGGCCGGTTCTTCGTAACAAAACTGCCAACAATTTTCCAGTAAGTTGACAAGTTACTTTTCAGTTAATTTTCAACAGGAAAACAATACGTTCCGGAATATGTTCTTCAATGTTCCTTGTTTGAATACGTTTAGCTGTTTTTTGCTGTAAAATGCAAATCCCTTCTTATAGCAGATCAAAAGCCAAGAACAAAAATACAAATGTCTCAGCTTACCAGTCCTTAGATCTAATGGCTGCATTGATTTTCGGAAAGAAAATAGAATAGTGGAGAACCCCAAATATCAATGTTTCCCTCAAGGACACCACCCCCAAAATGATATACACCAATAGTTTAAACGAAAGAGAAGCTGGACTTTAAAGAGGTTGTAAAGGCTCAAAGTTCATTCTATGCATGAAGATAAAAAGCCTTCTGTATGCAGCAGTCCCCACGGTCGTCCTTCTTACCGGAGTCCCAACGCGATCCAGCATTGTGCACTAGAGTCTCGGCTCTCCAGGGGCTTTCCATTCTCATTGACTCAGAGCCGGTCATCAGCAGGCTGCTGTCCAATCACAACCAGTAAGCCAATGAGGAGAGTGAGGGAGGGGGGCTGAACCACAGCTTTCTGTGTGAATGGACACACAGAGAAGTGGCTCAGGAGCAAGCCTGCTTGGGTGCCCCCAAACCAATCTACTTGCTATGATCCTGTATGGAATGGCTTTAGTCAAAATACAGTAGTCCATGTAAACTTGGACCTCCCATGGGCTACAGATCTTACCATGAGTCCTTGATTATTTCAGTTTATGTATGCTGATGTGGTATGTGTGAGCCCACACAATGTCCTTAACCAGTTCCCAACCGTGCTATAGCCGAAGGATGGCTACAGCGCTGTTGTCTAGTTCTGGGATGATGTCCATGGATGTCATTCCAGAACACGCCCCCCCTGCGCACCCCCAGTGGTGCACTGCTGGTGATCTCTGTGTCCTAAGGACACAGCTGACCACGTGATATGGTAAATGGCCAGTCACGGTGGCCTTTTACCATGTGATCAGCTGTGTCCAATGACACAGCAGATCACCGGGTAAATCCAGTTGCCGGTTATCGGCTGCTCTTTCCTAACGCTGTCAAAGTGTGAGGAAAGTACTGCCGAGAACTGGCAATTGTCAGCGAAGGGATCGGCACTGATCATCAGTGCTGTCCACCTGTGCCTGTCAGTGCCACCCACCTGTGCCCATCAGTGCCGCCTATCAGTGCAGCCTCATCAGCACACATCAGTGATGGAGAAAAACTACCTGTTTGCAAAATTTTATAATAGAAACACAGAACAACTTTTTTATTTTCCCAATTTTATGCTTTTTTTTGTTTTGGTTTTTTTTTTGTTTATACAACACCCAGCGGCTATCAAATACCACCCAAAAAAGCTCTATTTGCGTGAAAAAAGATAAAAATTTCAAAGGGGTAGAGTGTTGCATGACCGCGCAATTGTCATTCAAAGTGCGACAGTGCTGAAAGCTGAAAATTGCCCTGGGCAGGAAGGGGGTAGAAGTGCCCAGTAGGCAAGTGGTTAAATTTCAAATCTGGGCAAAGAAACATTTTCCCATGCAGTGGAGCTGTGTCTGCACTGCAAAGGTTAACTTGCTTGTTTTGTCAAGGAGCCACAAGAAAACGTATACTCACCCGATCCTCCGCTCCAGCCACAATCAGCGCTTCCCCTCGATCCAGCGGTGGACCCTCGCTTCAGCGCTTCCCCTCGATCCAGCGGTAGACTGTTACATCCAGAGCAGGCTTGATGACATCAGGGGGGCAGGAGCCGCAGGGACTGGTCTTGTGCAGGGAGGATCAGAGGATCAATCAAGCATGTCTCCTTTCTCTTGCCGCTAGACAAAAATGAGCAATTAACCCTTAAAATGTGGGCACAGCTCTGCTGCATGGGAAAACTTTTTATTTTCTGCCTGGAGTTGGAATTTAAATGTAATTTTGGAACAGCATTGTTAGCCTAAAACAAAGCTGTGCTTTACTCATGCATCATATACTCATACTCAAGTTTCCTTTGCTCACCCATCATTCCATTTATGCACTGAGGTAGCAAAACATGTTTCTGGGTGTGATGAAGCTTGGTGATTGGCCAAGCACTGTCTTATGGGGACAGGGAGAAAGTCCCTTTCCCTGAGATGGCTCCAGCTAGAGAGACTTGGAGCTCACACGGGGCTTTCACCTTTCCTTCCTGGACTCCGCTGCTTTGTTCACCTGCCAAAAGCCAGGAAGGAAAGGTGACTAAGACCTGCCGGATAGGGGGCAATACAGCACAGGTTTGCTTTGATTCTGTATCTTACAGCCTACATTTACTGGCAGCTTTGGGCCTAATAGAAGTAGGATTTTCCCTTATGTGACTAACAAACTTTGTCCTGATTTCTAGTGTCAAAGATGGAGTGTTCCGATGTTATCATGGCTCCCGAATGGTTGAAGATCTCCACTCCTTCATTGCAGACAACAAATGGAATGTGATAGAGCCAGTTGCGGGATGGAAGTCTCCTTCCTCTGTCTTGTAAGCCTTGAATATATTTGTATTAATGATCTGTAGGGAACTCATTGGGCATCTGTTGACATGGTTTTGAGTAAAGGAAATAGTTTGATAAGCAGTGATTTACTTTTTAAAGTAGGGTTGCACCGATACCGAGTACTTGCATGAGTACCCGATGTAACAGCGTATACCCAGAGATGGACGCGGTTCAACCATTTTGGCTTCAACTTCCATCTTGGCAAAGGGATTACCCATCCTGACAAACATATTTCCCCCTCATTCTCCCCCCCCTCCCTTTCTGAGAGGCCCAGCGACATTTGGCCAGTATGTGTGTGAGTTAGGAATGTCACAGGAGGGTCATAGGAGCTATAAAGCCCCCCCAAGGGAGCCGGGGCCTCCCTGTCCAAAGAACCTGCAAATTGTAACACCTCGGAAGAGATAAGGCAAGCTTTCCCAGGAGTTGAAAGAGATTCCACCTAATAAACCTAACTCGGCATATGTGACAGAATCAGATAACCACTTTTCAAAATCCATTTTGCCCCTATGTCTCATATCTTGGAATATGAGAGACTTGCATAAAAACCAGGTATATCTTCAGATTGGCCACGAGAAGGCGAACAGTTTGGTAGGTCACTCGCATGGTCTTGCATACATAGGAAAGCTGAAAAATAGATCTCGTGAACTGTGCAGTGTATAATTTCATAATTCATATCTAATCAATCCTCAGACGTGTCTGCCTAATCTACCAGCAGGTGGAGTGTCACTTGTGCATAGGAAAAATTATGGGCCAAAATATGAGTTATGGGAGATTTTGGCTCTAGTTGAGGTATCCGCCCATACCTACACGCCCTAAACGGAGCATTGGTCCTTCACTTCAGAGACACCCCCTGCTGGGGACTACAAAATAGGCTGTCAGGCCTAAGAGTGTGTGTTTGAAGATGTCTCCCATTTTAACATCAATACCACCTGGGGAGACCCGTGCCCTTTTTGCTCTGACTTGGATCTGCTAACCCAGGTCTTTGGCAAGTACCTTAACCCTTTCACCGCTCTCTGATATCTTTGTTGTGCTGTTAGTCTCTGTATGTTTATATATATATATATATATATATATATAATATATATATATATATATATATATCTTAGTTACATCTGTTTCTGTAAATATTTTTATTGCACCCGTTTGACCTTTTAGTAATAAATCTCTCCTTCTGAAAGTGTTGAACTATTTCTATAGCTCTGTATTGCAATTTACGAATTCCTGCCTCTAAAGAGACGCTATTGTGTGTGTTAAACCTCTGCATAATACGGTCACCGCAGGCTGATTATGCAGACGATTATCTCAACCATTATAGTGTGTTAGCTGATATTGCCGAGTTTCCTCTTTCTCTGTACAAAAAGGAGTTGGTGGCAGTGTGAAGGGTTAATTGCGTAAATAACCTGACCCAGTAACAATCGCTCAGGCTGTCGGTACATCGATTGTGGTCCAATTAGCTGGAAAATCGTTGTGCAGGGTACAGCTGGGTGTGGCAGTGTTATGCACGTGACATCGCGGTTTTAGATCGGCTAGTCCTTCGGTCGCGGGTTTGGTGAGAAGGGCTGGGGTCTGATGCCGCGATCGTGACACCCGAAACCAATACCTTTTTGCTGTGCTATTTGAGCCCATACAAAATGAATGGGCTGGAATCTCATGCGATTTGAACAGAAATGCGGTGCAATTCCTGTCCAAATCGCTTGTGATTTTCCCCCTACTGCTCCTGTGTGATCCCAGTATAGAAAGACAGGGAAGCTACATGAAGTGAAGCACTGGGCAAACAAACAGGTTAAAATGTTATCACAACTCACATGTTAAAAGTGCTTAATATCTTGCATGTCAAATCCAAAACTGGCCACTTGTGGTGCTCACAGGGCTGAAGGAGAGGTATAGGCAGTCCAACACTGCAAAAAGTGAAACAAAAACGAGAAGCGCACCAACCTTGCGCATTACCAGTGCTCTGATGCAGAAGGCATGGCCTTCGAAACGCGTCAGTTGTACTGAGTGTCTACCCCCATGATGGGATTCACGCTGGCTCCTTATCTCTGAAGTCCATTTGAGGACTACATGCCTGATTTTATTCGCTGTTTGTGAGTACCATTCTTTAATTAATTTGGTTGCTGAGGTAATGCGCAAGGTTGGTGCGCATCTCGTTTTTGTTTCACTTTGCAGTATTGGTCGGGCTTCCCCAGCCTTGTTTGGAGCTGCACAACCTTGTATGCACTGGTGGTCGCTTTTTTCTGGTTTTGGTTCCATCTACTTGCCACTGGCCTTGGTCCTTGAGCGCAGGAGAAATCGCATCTGGTCTATAGGCAGTCCAACCCCAAGCTGACATCATATTCGCCCTGTACCCACGGGGGTCCCGGAACTTCCTACCTCTTCTCCAGCCCTCTGAGCACCTCAAGCGGGCGGCTTTGCAAGTATTGTCGTATTGTGCTCCATGACAGAGCTACACCCTCTTTTTCCATAGCAGCTTTTTCCAGTAGGCCACGTAAAATGATAGAGAGGGTTCAGAGCATGCCGAAGTGCACAGTGTGCAGAAGTCACCAACTGTCTGCAGAGTCAATAGCTAAAGACCTCCAAACTTGGTGTGGCCTTCAGATCAGCACTACAACAGTGCATAGAGAGCTTCATGGAATGGGTTGCCATAGCCGAACAGCTGTATCCAAGCCTTACATCACCAAGTGCAATGCAAAGCGTCGGATGCCGTGGTGTAAAGAACGCCGCCACTGGACTCTAGAATAGTGGAGATGTGTTCTCTGGAGTGACAAATCATGCTTCTCTGGAAATTCAATGGATGTGTCTGGGTTTGGCGGCTTCCAGGAGAAAGGTACTTGCCTGACTGGATTGTGTCAAGTGTAAAGTTTGGTGGAGGGGGGATTATGGTGTGGGGTTGTTTGTCAGGGGTTGGGCTTGACACCCTAGTTTCAGTGAAGGGAACTTTTAAGGTGTCCGTATACCAAGACATTTTGGACGATTTAATTCCCCCAACTTTGTGGGAAGAGTTTGGGGATAGCCCCTTCCTGTTCCAGCATGACTGCACACCAGTGCACAAAGCAAGGTCCATAAAGACATGGAGGAGCCAGTTTGGGGTAGAGGAACTTGACTGGCCTGCACAGAGTCCTGACCTCAACCCCATAGAACACCTTTGGGATGAATTAGAGCGGAGACTGCGAGCCAGGCCTCCTCCCCCGACATCAGTGCCTGACCTCACAAATGCGCTTCTGGAACAATGGTCAAACCTTCCCATAGACACCCTCCTAAACCTTGTGGACGGCCTTCCCAGAAGAGTTGAAGCTGTTACACTGTAGCTACAAAGGGCGGGGCCAACTCATTATTGAACCCTTTGGATTAAGACTGGGATTCCATTAAAGTTCGTGTGTGCGTGTAAAGGCCGGTGGCTATATATATATTACAGTTGTGCTCAAAAGTTTGCATACCCTGGCAGAAATTGTGAAATTTTGATATTGATCATGCCAAAAAGTGCTCTTTTATTGAAGGATGATGATCATATGAAGCCATTTATTATCAAATAGTTGTTTGGCTCCTTTTTAAATCATAATGATAACAGAAATCACCCAAAAATGGCCCGGATCAAAAGTTTTCCTCCCCTGGAATGTTTGGCCTTGGTACAGACACACAAGGTGACACACACGGGTTAAAATGCCAATTAGAGGTTAATGTCCCACGTCTGTGGCTTTTTTAAATTGCAATCAGTGTCAGTGTATAAATAGTCAATGAGTTTGTTAGCTCTTACGTGGAAGCACTGACTAGGCTAGATACTGAGCCATGGGGATCAGAAAAGAACTGTCAAAAGTCCTGCGTAACAAGGTAATGGAACTTTATAAAGATGGAAAAGGACATATAAAGATGTCCAAAGCCTTGAATATGCCAATCAGTACTGTTAAATCATCTATTAAGTAGTGGAAAGTTCGGGGATCTCTTGATACCAAGCCAAGGTCAGGTAGACCAAGAAAGATTGCAAATACAGAGGGTTCACCACAAGGGGCAAACCATTCATAGCCTGAAGAATAGAAAAGCCAGATTAGACTTTGCTAAAAAAACATCTAAAAAAAAAAGTCAGACCAGTTCTGGAAAAGCATTCTTTGGACGGATGAAACTAAGATAAATCTGTACCAGAATGATGGAAAGAAAAAAGTGTGGAGGAGGCTTGGAGCAGCTCATGATCCAAAGCACACATCATCTGTAAAACATGGTGGAGGCAGTGTGATGACATGGGCATGCATGGCTTCCAGTGGCATTGGGTCATTGGTGTTTATTGATGATGTGACAGAAGCAGCCGGATGAATTCTGCAGTGTTTAGAGATATACTATCAGCCCAGATTCAGCCAAATGCAGCAAAGTTGATTGGACGGCGCTTCACAGTACAGAAGGACAATGATCCAAAACACACTGCAAAAGCGCCCTAGGAGCTTTTGAAGGAAAAGAAGTGGAATATTGTGCAATGGCCGAGTCAATCACCTGATCTCAACCCAAATGAGCATGCATTTCACTTGCTGAAGGCAAAACTAAAGGCAGACCCACAAACAGGGAACAACTGAAGACAGCTGCAGTTAAAGCCTGGCAAAGCATCAGAAAGGAGGAAACCCAGTCTTTGGTAATGTCCATGGGTTCCAGACTTCAGGCAAAGCATCAGAAAGGAGGAAACCCAGTCTTGGGTAATGTCCATGGGTTCCAGACTTCAGGCAAAGCATCAGAAAGGAGGAAACCCAGTCTTAGGTAATGTCCATGGGTTCCAGACTTCAGGCAAAGCATCAGAAAGGAGGAAACCCAGTCTTAGGTAATGTCCATGGGTTCCAGACTTCAGGCAAAGCATCAGAAAGGAGGAAACCCAGTCTTTGATAATGTCCATGGGTTCCAGACTTCAGGCAAAGCATCAGAAAGGAGGAAACCCAGTCTTTGATAATGTCCATGGGTTCCAGACTTCAGGCAAAGCATCAGAAAGGAGGAAACCCAGTCTTTGATAATGTCC